AACATAACCTGACCATATTTTGTTCACCTCACCGTGTCCATAGATTGTATACTCTTTTAGCAAGTTTAGCAGCGGTAGTTCCTTTGCCATGGCAAAGTTTCATGTTTAATTCAGCTGGTTGTGTCTGTTGGGGTGTGTGTGTGTGTGTGTGTGTGTGTGTGTGTTTCCATGAAATAGCTTGTATTTGAATGGTGGTTGGTCACTGTGATTCAGACTTGGGGTTATTTTAATCACAACAGCATAAGTACTAGCTATTAATTAAAACAAAAATCCAGAACTACAAGTTTTAAATGCCTGGCTTTAAACTAGTATGTCTGAACAAATACAATGGGTACAGAACAGAAGAATGATCATACACTCACCCAAATTAGTCCACACATCTAGAGAATGTAAGCTATTTCTTGGTATGAATTAATGTCTTTTTAATTTGACCGCTAACAGGCTACATGGCTTTATATATAATTTATCCATTCAGGAGAATTTTAGATTTGTTATACTACTCATTTCATTTCTAGCCTCACTTATTATGCCACTCATATGTCTCCAAAATATATATGTGCTCCTCAAGCTTAAGGGAAAGATAGTGATAGCCTATATAAGTGCCTAAATCCTTAATTTAAAAATATTGATCTCTGGATTGTTTTCTTCTTAAGCATGTATCTTTTCAGTCTTATGAAAAAAAGATATTATTGAATGTCTACAATTAAGCAATTTCAATATCATGATATTTTTTTTAAAAATCACTGAAATTATTTTATAAATCAAGATATTCTTATACATATCTATTAGCATTGGATACAAAATGCATTTCTACATTTCTTAAATTCACCTTGAGCAGAAGAGGCTAAGAAGTCATTTTTGTGTTATCCACAACTTCTCTGATTCCTATGCAAGAGAAAGAGGGAATAAATAGAATACTATTGAAAAGACTTTATTTAGCTTAAGAGAAGCTGGACTACATGAAGAAGAACATGGCATCAGGATTGGAGGAAGTATCATTTAACAACCTGTGATACGCTGATGACACAACCTTGCTTGCTGAAAGTGAGGATGACTTGAAGTACTTACTGATGAAGACTGAAGAATACAGTCTGCAGTATGAATTACATCTCAATATAAAGGAAACAAAAATCCTCACAACTGGACCTATAAGCAGCATTACGATAAATTGAGAAAAGATTTAAATCGTCAAAGACTTCACATTGCTTGGTTCTACAGTCGATGCCAATGGACGCTACAGTCAGGACATCAGATGACGTATTGTTGTTGTTGTTATGTGCCGTTGAGTCAGACCTGACTCACAGTGACCCCTCCCTGGGTTTCTGAGGCAGCGTCACTATGAAAGTAAATTGCCCATCTTCCTTCTGAGGAGTGGCTGAATGGTTTGGATTGGCTACAAAGGAACCCTTTCAAGTGCTGAAGAGCAAAGATGCCTCCTTGAGGACTAAGGTGCATCTGACACAAGCCATGATATTTTCAGTCACCTCAAATGCATGTGAGAGTTGGACAATGAATAAGGAAGACCAAAGAAGAGTTGATGCTTTTGAGCTGTGGTGTTGGCAAAGAATTCTGAAAGTACCATGGACTGATAAAAGAACTAACAGGTCTGTCCTGGAGGAGGTGCAGCCAGAATGCTCCTTGGAGGCTAGAATGGCCAGACTTTGTCTCACTACTTTGGTCATGTTGTCAGAAAGCACCATTTCCTGGAGAAGGATGTCATGCTTGGTAAGGTGGGGGGTCAATGAAAGAGGGGAAGGTCCTCGATGAGGTGGATTGACACGGTGGCAGTGATGATGGGCTCAAGTGTAGCAAGAATTGTGGAGCTGGCTCAGGACTGGGCAGTGTTTCATTCCGCTATGAGTTGGAAATGACTCGATGGCACTTAACAACAACAGGAGAAGAGACAATTTTTTAGTCTTTGCTGGAATAACTAAATACCAGATCCAATTCTTGTATTGGTCCTTGCCTCAAATTCCCTGTGAATGGTTTTCATTATTAACTTTCCCAGTATTCAATAAGCCTTGTCTTAACTCACTTCCTATAAATAGGTATAACAAGAATATTACACATATTTCAGAATATTGCACAAAACATATGTAATCAAATGTACATTTATCCAGTACATCTATTCTCTTAACCTTCCAAGTCATTCTCCACAGTACAGCCAGAATAATTACATCATTCCTTTGCTTAAAACACTTTAGTGGTTTTGATTTATTCTTAAAGATGAAGATCATCAAACATGTCTATAGGGGAATGAATGGTATGACCTTTTCCCACCTGTCTAGCCTCATCTGGCAGTATATTCCACTTATTTTCCTTCATCAAGTTTCATTGCCTTCTTAGAACACACTCCAAACCCACCCTACCACAGGGCCTTTGCACATGCTTTTTCCTCCTTCTGGGAGACATTTTGGCTACCCCTAACCTGGTAGCATAGTGCCTAAGGCATTTGACTGCTAACCAGAAGGCTGGCAGTTCAAACCCACTAGCCACTCCTTGGAAGAAAGATTGGGCAATCTACCACAGAGATACCACCTTGGAAATCCAATGAGAGGTCACTATGAGTTGGAAATGACTTGGCAGCAGTGAGTTTTTTGGTTTTAACTCTTTGCCTAGTTAACTCCTATCCATTTGTCTGTTAATTTTTCACTTTTTCAAGGATACCTCTCCAGACCTTGGCTCCCCCAAATGTAATTAAACATTCCTCAAAATATTTGTCTTGTTTGTAGTTCTTATCAGTTGTACTTTACATTTATATATGTGACAACTTGATTAATGTGTCCCCTGCCACTTTGGTCTATGAAATGCATGAGAGTAGGGAATTGTGTCTGCTTTTACTTGCCATTATATCATTAGGTCTTATTATAAAACCACTGCCAGTCAAGTCATTCCAGTACATAGCAACCCTTTAGGGCAAAGTAGAACTGCCCCATAGGGTTTCCAAGACTGTAAATTTTTATGGAAGCAGACTGCCTCATCTTTCTCCTGTAGCACAGCTGGTGGGTTCAAACTCTGTTTTTATGTTCAGCTGCCAAGTCCTTTAACCACTGCACTACCAGAGCTCCTTAGCTCTCTGATGTGCAGTGGTTAAGTAATGAAGCTGCTAACTGAAAGGTTATTGGTTTGAACTCAACTAGCGGCTCTGCAGGAGAAAGACCTGGCCATTTGCTCCTGTAAAGATTACAGCCTAGAAACTGTAAGGGGAAGTTATGCTCTGTCACATGGGGTCATATGAGTCAAAAATTGATTCAATGGCCTCCAACAACAGTAACAATATTATTGTCACCCCAGAAATAGTTATTGAGTTAAGAATGAGTGAAATAAGTAAATAAATAAATTTCATATTTTTCTTGTGTTGTATCTTCTCATTCCTGAAATATTGACATGTATATTAGTTGAGCCTTTCCTGGTTTTGAAAAATTTTATGATCCCTCTCAGGGACCTGCTTTTGTGTTCTCTACTCCATTTCTAGGTTGACAAGTTCTTTTACCTAGCTGAAATTCCTATTGCTGAAATTAAAACCTATTTTCTATTAATAAATTCTGGTATCTAGAAAGAATGGTTAGTTGCTATCCTTCACACAGTATTTGTTCCATTATCAGTAGAATACATTTTTATAACATTATTTTACTAAATTTCTTTTCTAATTGTAATTTTAGGCCAGCATCAGCTCAGTGAGTCTTTAAGAAATATTGATAGCTTTTTTGTTGTTGTTGTTCTGTTTTTTAAACCCGAATTGATAGTACAATTCTCAATGATATAGTTTCTCTGCTGACATTAGTTTTAACTTGTGGCAATCATACTGGCAAGTCTCCTCTGATGTCTTCTTTTCTTCATGGGGCTACTCAAAAAAGAGGGTCACTCCTAATTAAAGTATTTTTAGTTTCTCGTATTGGCCTGGTGCTTTCTCATCAGGATTCAGTGGCTTTTTTGTTTGTTTGTTTGTTTGTTGTTGTCACATATAGGATGTTGGAAGTTTCCCCTTTCGCACACACAAAAATCAGTAATTTTTGTCCACTTTGACAGCTGGTGGCATCTTCTGAAAAGCTTTCAAATCATAGATCATTTCTTCATATTGAAACCTGTGTGGCTCAAATACAGTGGGTTGGATTTCTTATCTTATGCTACAGCCAAACGCTCTAATTTAGATTCACAAAAGGATTCTACGCCCTTTACTTAGGAGAGCTGTGCAATTTGCCCATAAAAAAGACAGTTCAGCACCATTAGGGCACACCATAAGTGTTCAGCAGCATCATGTTTATTAAACAGCATAACCTTCAACCCTGTGAAAGATGACAAATGAGAAAGGGGTGAAGGAGCCCCTGAAGCAACACTGTTGCCTATAAGGATGAATTTGGGAACTTTAGCATGAGCTCTACATGGGGGCGGGGGGAGAGAACCTAAATACCCAGATTCAATCATTTCTTTCCTGAGCAAGTTTTCATTCTCTCTCTAGAATTTGTTCCATGCACAAGAGTTTGACCACCCTCTTCTGTGCTTCAAAGATAGATATTTGCAAAACAGAATAATTTTGTTACAGCAATACCAAAAACTTCCTTAAGTAACATTTATTAAGCACCTACTAAGTATTGGACACTGTGTTGTCACTGAAAATAGGAGTAATCAGAATATTAATACGTAGCTTTATAATCTTTGACACTATCAGATTTTATTTGGAGGAAGAGAGAGTGGTGAAAGAGAATGGGATAATTTTATTTTTGTTTGTTTTGTTTTTGTATTTTTGCAAGGACAAGAGGCAAGAGTAAGTGAGAATTTTACTGGTGACAATACTTGTTCTTGGCAGGGACAGTGAATGAATTGTCCCAGCATTCACTCTGCCACTGTCACTACTCTGTGGTGTTCCTGCCCTCTTAATGGTCTCTCTTCTCAGGTCTTTAAGTGTCTTAGAGTTGGCTCTTTCTAACTTCTCCCTCTCTTTCTTCAGTTCATTCAGACTTTCCTCAAACTTGTGAGATATCTTCTCGCTTCCATTTTAGGTACACCCGAGAGCCTGGCAGAAAAAGAACGGCAGCTCTCCACCATGATTACCCAGCTGATCAGTTTACGGGAGCAGCTCCTGGCAGCTCACGATGAACAGAAAAAACTGGCAGCCTCACAAATTGAGAAACAACGGCAGCAAATGGACCTTGCTCGCCAACAGCAAGAACAGGTGAGCCCTGCAAACGGAGCTTCAAACTGGAGATGTGGGATGTGCCAAGCTCAGCGAGTAATCACATTGATTGGCTTATTTGTCATAAGCTTTCCTGAGGGGAGTGGGGGGTAGAGGAAAGAAAGAAGTCTTTGGGAAATCTAAGCTTCGCAAGAATACTGAGGAGATGTGTAGAGGACAAGGAAAAGCATCCTAACAACCAACATTTCTGAATGATACATTGTTTCAGAACACCTGGATTTGATTAATTACTCAGGAATACTCCTTCACATCCGCATCACATGTGATGCCAGGGTCGTTTCTTCATGAGTAAATCATTTCTTCCTGGTCCTTACTTTCCTCATCCAGGAAAAGAGAAAGGTCCCATGGGCTTTACATTGCTCATCTAGAAAACTTTGGAAGATCTTTTAGCTCTCTGCCTTAATGAATTTTTTTTCTGACTTTGGAAGCTAGGGTGACCATACATCTCAGGTTTTCCAGAATAGCTCTGGTTTATGCCTATTTTCCAGGGTAATTATTAATTTCCTTCCTTCCACTTGAAAAAAGTTGCCCTGGTATAGATGATAAATTATATGGCCACTCTATTTATAGCATAGGTAAATCATTGAGAACAAATTGGCACATGTTTCCTATAAGAATTTGACTTAATTGACTTAGAAGTGAGAAAGAAGAATAGCAAAGTTTAAATATATATCTTTTAAAAATAAATCACTTTCCCAAATGTCCTTCTTGTCTCATAAGAGTACATTAATCTAACAACAATGATCCTATAGAGTAATCCCTGATGCTTTAGATCAGACAGACCCAAATTAATGTGCAGTTTTTAGGAATCTGACATTATTACTGGAATTATCTTTTCAGTTAAATGTATTTTATAGGGGTATATAGAGCAATATATGCTCTGTTGATTTTAATGAGTTGTGACGTCTGGTATTTTATATGCTTGAATATTTGCCCACATGTAGGAATATGGACTCAGCCCCTAATGGAAAATAACATAAAAGAACACTGTAAAAAATCAGAAGTTAGAATGTCATTTAGCCATCTAGAGATGACACAGTAATTAACTATTGACACTTGTGAATAAGCTAGCACAAATTAATCTTGACACATTTGCAGACGAGTGATATCTTACAGTGAACACTTTGTAATTATATTTCAAAATGAAAATTAAATGACACTTAAAACTAGGTTGTCATGCTCAATGAAGCAAGCATGTAGCTCAACCGATTGGCAAATAAAATTCAGAATTTGAGCCACATGGTGCTTATGTACCATACTTCACTGTGTCAAACCCACACGTCTAGAGTGGATGATAGTAATTGCACTATGGTGCTTTGATGCATTTCTATGCAGCACTTTATCATTTAGGAGGGACCATCAATATTAGATGCCTAGTGGTGTTTCACTGGTCCACTAAGAGGAAATAAACATTCAGAGGAGCCAGTATCCATACCTAGAGCTGCAGAGTGAGTTGTCCATTTCTGATTTGAAAGGTGACTAGCAGAGTGGGCATTCTTACCTGAATAAATACTGATCTATTTTGACTATTAAGTATTGGAAAGGAATAGTAGGAATAGTGCCATTTCTCAAACTATGACCTATGGTAATGGCAGTTTTATCATGGTCTCCAGTATGAGCCAGTCACCACCCGAAAACTATAAAGCAACAAATGGGAGCAGACCATCTTGCTGGCATATTATGCCAAATAAAATGTATTTTGGATGGTTCCTCTCCTCTGGACTCAAACATTAAAAAGACTCAAGAAGTATGGTTAGGGGCTGAATCACAGTTATTTTTACTTTTAATATTGCCCACTTTAGATTATTGTCTTTTGGAAATAGGAAAAAAAATAGAAAGAAAAGATCATAATTCTTGCTCACAGTGTACTACAACACCAATTCCTTCAAAGCACCCTCTGGCCCCTTTTCTTTTTGATCTCCTGCCTTACCTATCAGTGAGTGTGTTTTCACTAAGGGGAATCCCCCTGGACTTCAAGGTGCCAGCAAGGTAGCAGCTCAGCGTTTGAGGCATTGAATAAGCCTACTGCCTGGGTCACACTTTATAGTAAATACCATTATCCTGAGGAAGTTGTTTGCCATATTGTGACAGATTTAGCCTTCAATAGTGCTTGTTATGATAAGTGATTAATATTACTTTTTATAGGCCAGATGACCTGCTAAGATGTGGAATTTCGTTGTTGGGTGAAGCAAGAGAATATAAAACTTGTATGTGGATCTTATACTGTAAAAGTAATAATTTCCACTCAAATGGGAAAATGGATAAATATTGAATTATAGTTTAGTTTGTTCTTAATTGTTGTTGTTACTGTTATAGGCCATCGAGTCGGACCTGACTCATAGCGACCTCTCCTTGGGTTGCTGAGGCAGTTTTCACTATGGAAGTAGATTGCCAAACCTTCCTTCCGAGGAGTGGCTGGTGGATTTGAACCGCCAGCCTTCTGGTTAGCAGTCAAGTGCCCTAGGCACTATGCTAGCAGAGCTCATTTGTTCTTAGTAATACTTCATATATCACATACAACATTATTAACAAAAGCTTTTTTTTTTTATTTTTTGCACTTTTTAGTGTGTTTTTTGGAACTTCTTTGACACTATTTTTAAGTGTATCAGTTCTGAGAATCTTTACATCAGAAAAGGCTTCACCAAAGTAGCCCATAGCATACAGGCAAAGATGTATTTATCCTGTCTTTACTTATGTACTTTACTTTTTACATCCAAATTAAGTTCTTTAGGAAAATGTAGCCATAGTTTTCCTGTGTTTATTTCCCAAGGATCAGATTTTCAAATTCCTGTTCTTTCCAGATGACCAATACAGATATAGGTGAACTGTTTACAGATGTAATTCGAGGGGTAGTTATTACCTACAGATAAAGATTTAGGGGTAAGCAGAGAAATGGCACTTGGTTGAAAATGTTTCTTTTCTCCAACTATCTGAATCTGCCTTCCTCATTTTAGAAAAACTCTTTCACATAGAGGTACAATAAAGCATTCTTGTAATACCAGGAGAGATACCTGAGGTAATGTCAAAGGTATGGACATTTCATTTTAACTTAATGAAACTTTATTTCTGATAGATTGCAAGACAACAGCAGCAACTTTTGCAACAGCAGCACAAAATTAATCTCCTGCAGCAACAGATCCAGGTCAGTGTATTTTATTACTCTCGTCTGATTACACTTACTTTCCTCCTTGAAAATAGAATTTAAAATGCTGCCAATGCACCCCTGTCTTATAAACAGCACCAATAGGATTTGTACACAATTGTATAAATGGATAAAAGAAACATAACTAGGTAGCGATCTAAGCATTCTTATGCATAAGCAGAATAAACTTCTATCTTTCTTTCCTTCTGCTATTTGCTTAACCCAAGCCAGTGGAAACCTAGTTGTTTCCAGGGTAGCATACAGATGCTGTTTTTATTGCCCAAACCACTTTTTGCTTTGTATTTTACTATCTAATAGCATTATGGGGAGAAGCTTATTTTTATTTCGAGCTGTCTGATTGGGACAATTATGAGAAGAATTTTATAACCTAGGAAAAGGCAAGTAATAATTCATTTGTTCTTCAACAAATACTAACTACATTCCTGCTGTGAGGTGTACATTTTGCTTTGTGCTGAGGGCACTATAAAGATTAATGGATAGTAGTCTGTCTTCAAGAAACTTACAGTCTAAGATAGGAAGAAAAACATTTTAATGAATAATTTACCACAATTTAGAGCCACTTTCTTGTGGTCAGGTAGCAAAATATAGATCACAATTACAGTGATCTGGGAAGGGAAGGCAGTGATGTGATTTCTGTCATTTTTTAAAGATACTTGTTAGTTATGTCAACTAACAGCTATTTAGATAGGTAAGGTAAGTTTCCATTTTGGAATGGGAACACGGGTGTGTGATTTCTAGAAAGCTGCAGAGCAAGTAACTGGTTGTCTGGTGATGAAGTCCTCAGCAATACTGCTCCCAGAGTTATATGCACCCCATTAGAGATGCTTATTTCCCTTAGTTACTGTGGATGTTTTCTAACCTGCTCGTATCTCTGATTCAATCTAGTTTGGCTGGCATATTCTGAAGTGTATTATTCCTTTCTTGAGGTTAATATCAGATTCTCCTATATTTGTTTAAGTCAGTAATACAAAGTCATAGCTTATTCTGATCTTCTATCTCATTGATGAAAACTAGTGATTTCAGCTTAAATTCTTGCTTCCTATGGTAACCATACATACTGTTCCAGGTAGTAGTCACTACCTTTTAAATACTTACCAAGTTGGTGCCTGAAGAAGTTAGTGTACCTAATTTGGTATTTTGTCCAGCTGTTTCTTCACTAGGAGGTTTTCACTTGTGTTTTATTGGTTCTGATTCTATATTCTGTACCAAGTCTGTGTGTCTCAAAAGAAAAGTCCAAATAACAAGAGATAGAATGTTTCTGACATTTTTGATGGTCAGCCCTCACAATTAAGTCTTGGAATAATTACTCATCCGGATATCTCTTAAATGATTCATGCTGAGATCTTTAATTAAGTAACTGTCCAGGTCTTCTCTTGCTCTGCCCTCATTAGAATTTTCAGTGGTCCTCCTACTGGTAAGGTCAAAATGGTTAGCCTACGGTATCTTACATTTTTCTTTAGATCTCCCTTTAAGAACTTAGTTATTGTTGTGATAGCGACCCCTCCTTGGGTTTCTGAGGTGGTATCAGTACGGAAGTAGATTGCCCAACCTTTCTTCCCAGGAGTGGCTGGTGGGTTTGAACCACCAGCCTTCTGGTTAGCAGTCAAATGCCTTAGGCACTGTGCCACCAGAGCTCCTTGTTAGAACTTGTTGGTGTTGTTGTTATGTGCCATGGAGTCGGACCCAACTCATAGCGACCTCTCCTTGGGTTTCTGAAGCAGTATCACTACAGAAGTAGATTGCCCAACCTTCCTTCCGAGGAGTGGCTGGTAGGTTTGAACCTCCAGCCTCCTAGTTAGCAGTCAGGTGTCTTAGGCACTATGCTACCAGAGCTCCCTGTTAGTAGGTGTTAAATAACCTAATTATTTAGTTCTGTTTCTATTATTTAGAAAGCAGAGATGGAAGGAGTTCCCTGAGATGTTTCCATGTCAGCTGCTTTTTAATAATGTTACTTACTTCATTTATTTCTAATATATTTCACTTCTTAGTCCAATGTTGTTTGTATTGACTGGCTATCTTAATTGATGATTGACTAGGGTACTGAGGAACTCAGATGAAAAACAACCAGATCAGTTTAGAGTATTTTTATGAAATATTATTAGAATTTATTGATTCTATTTGATTTTGTATTTATAACTAGAGTACATGAAATTGTAATTTTACCTTGTAGTTTTCTGTTTTCAGAAAACTGTAGAATGTGATGTTAAAATAGTACTTCAATGGATTGTTATGTCCATAAAGAGGAAAAATAGCTTGTCAAATTAAATATAAGTTTAATTGTTTATAAAATTTATGGATATTTGTCATTCTGTAATTTTAGAAAACCGAAACAAATCAGCATTTGGATTCAGCTATATAAAATATAAAATGATAGAGGGATTCAGTGTGTCAGAGTTACATTCATTGTATAAATAAAGTACTCTTTGTAACAGGAATTAATGTTTTTTAAAAAAATAACAGTAAGTAATAATCCCCATATTATAGTTTATTTTATCCTGAGCTACTGCTTTACTGTATAGCTTGTCAGTATTTATCTTATCAGAATGAGACCATTCAAATAAATTTTCAAGTATTGAAAACACTCCTAACCCAGAACATACTCATCTCTGACAACTAACAAAAACAGGTATTTGATGTTCAGATTCTTTTATTTATTTATTTAGATGGGGCATGGGTTAACTGTATTCTCAAGTATGGTTTTTGAAAAGCCATACATGTAATCAAATTTAGGAGACATAGTATTGTTGGCATAATTTTAATATATATTTTTAGCAAAATATGAAATTTAAGAGATGCCTCAAACATTTTTCTATCAAGGGCAAAGAAACTTCCTTCCATTTAAAAGTAAAACAGAAAAAAAAATCTCAAGATGATAAAAACAAAACCTAACCTCTCTTCTTAAAGCAAATGAATGCAGAGATAATCAGAGCAAGTTTGACTTTTTTTTTTTTCTTTTAAAATCTGGGTCCTAGAACATATTGACTACCATAGTCAACAAGATGAAGCCTTGGCAATTGACTATCGATCATGAATATTGAGTGGTTACATTCAGAATTGTTCTTTACTTCTGTTTCAGAATACTGACTTCTGAATTAGTGCTGTTTTTTGGGGGGATTGCAAAAACGGCAAGGAGGCCACATGTTCTGACCTCCTCTAATCCCACAAGAGGAAGACAGGATTACCAGCAGTAACCCAAGGCCTGTTACCGCAAGGCCAGACATGCTGCCTCCCTCCAGCCCTTTCACCAACCGCTCCTCCCAAAGCACCCACCACCTCTCTCCTGGGTTCGATAATTCGCTGCAGTGGCCACACAGAACTCACAGATTATGGGGTTTATTAGGGAAGCACCACAGGCTACAATTCAAGTTCAGGGAAAATGCTCACACTCTCTCTCCCAGCCCACTGTCTCTCAGCCACAGTCTCTTTCCCAGCAGTGCTGGTCCCTTGGTGTCTCACTCAGAAATGCATGTCTCTTGCATCTCTTTCCCAGCAATGCGTGTCTCAGGAACCCGTGTCTCTTTCAGCAGCACGTCTTCCTCAACCAGCAGTCAGAGAGAGTTCTGCCTCCAGGAGGCCTCCTTTTGAGCCCCGGCAGGGTGGTCAAACTAGCTAATCACAGCATCAGAACTCTAAGCACCTGAGAGAGAGTGGGAACCTCCCAGAACATTGTACTGTGCCACGCCCAACAGAAATAACCCAGGTGGATAGCTTCAGCAATCAGGAGCTCCTCAGTTGCTCATAGAAAATCCCACCTTGGAGTTTACAAAGACTTATGGGTAGAAAAGCCACACTAAGTAATTTACTATATTGCAGGGATTCACAAGCTTTAATAGAAAGAAATAGAGAGAAGAGTGTAACTTCTTATAACAACCATACAAAAATATATCTGGGTCTATTACAATTAAATAAAGATATGACTGGTTTTAACAAATCAAAAAACAGGATTTTTCATTAGCGATAGGGAAGGACATAATAAAGAATTTTTTTAAAAAAATTTTTATTGTGATTTGGGTGAAAGTTTACACAGCAAATTCACTTTTCACACAGCAGCTCACATATACTTTGTCTCAAGACATTGACTGCAATTTCCCACAATGCAACAGCCCCCCTCTCACTTCCTCTCCATAGTTACCTCTTCCCTGTGTCCTTCCCTCCCATGCACTCCTACCTTCTTGTGCCTACACAGCCCTTCTATTCTCCCATAATTGATCTCTCCAAGGAGTATATCTCCCTAATGTCAATGTTCAGCTCATATGCCTGTCTTTTGTCTGACTGGAAGCCACAGAAGTGGGTTCATTTTCCAGACCTGAAGGGCAGCTATGGGTCATAGTCTCAGTGGTTCCATCAGGCTCTATCAGACCAGCAAACCTGGCCCCTTTATTCTTCATATGATTTTGAGTTTTGTTCCACATGGTTCTTCCATTCTATCCAGGATCTCCTACATAGATCCCCCTTCGAGTGGTTGACAAGTGGTAGCTGGGCACCATCTAGTTCTTCTGGTCTCATAGTTGTATAGGCTGAGGATCACATGGTGTACCAGTCACTTGAACTAATTGTTTCCATACATCTTTGGTTTTCTTCATTCTCCTTTGCTCTGGATGAGGAGAGACTCATTGCATCTAGATGGCCACTTGCAAGCTTTTAAGATCCCAGTTGCTATTTGCCAAAGTAGGATGTGGAACAATGATTTTGTGTAGTATGTTATGCCAATTAAGCTTGATGTCCCCTGTGACTGTGGTCCTTAATGCACAGTCCAACTATTTGCTCCCTCTGGGTAGCTGGCTGTGGCCAAGAAGTAACTACAACCTTGTCCCTTGTCAGCTCTACTATACATCTTGGAATTCTTACAGAACATACAGATACACTTGTAGAAACATTGTCTGCCAACCCTATACATGGTCATGGGCACACTCCCCTCTGCAGAAACATACCTAAAAGTTCAGCCTGTCCACCCATTTATCCACTCATATATCCGTGTT